ATTATTATTATCATTATTGACAAAGGCGTGAAATCACACACACACACACACTCACACAAACAGGGGTGAAAGGCATTGATGATGATGATGGCTCCGTCCAATTGGAGATGAACATAGGAGCGCTCAGTTGACCGTATGCAGTTGTGAGGGCCGTAAAACATTTAATTTACCAAAAACAAGGAGATGCACATTGAGTGGCAGGTCTTGTCTCCTAGATGAAATATATAACACCACAAGTATAACAAAAGATAAAAGCATTATAAAAGGCCTAATACATCCGCTTTTCACGCAAATTGTCAGATCACGCAGCGGCAGATACATACCTTTAAAAACAAAGAAAGAAAGATATAAAAGAAGTTTTTTTAAACCATCTAACATAAAGCTATTGTCAGAATAATCGTAGATGTGTATTGCTCTTTTGAGTATGTATCTATATAACTCTAAAGGTCTTGTAATTTAAGTCCTGCATGTGGTTGAATGCTGCATCTGATGGGATATGTAAATTTTGTCAACTTTACTTCTCTTTTCACATTGAAGTTTAATGAGAGAAATATGTAATTTTAATTTCTATCTATACCTGCATGAGTTTTTAAGATCCTGTACAGCCAAGAAAAAATTCCCCCTCGGATAATAAAGTATTATTGTATCTTTTCTTATCTTATCTTAGATAAACTAACAATGTTAACAGTAAATATTAATTGTCCAATCCTTCACTCCTCATCCCCCTTCCCTCCCTCCCCATTAAAAAAAGTATTCCAAGTCTTCCACCAAATTACACCAACCTTCGTCAATCAAACTGTATCTGAGACGAGCAGGACTCGGTTCTAGAGCTGTGCTCAAACATTGACAGGAAATATTACGGAAAAAGTGTAAAACCCTATACCGTACACCCTTAGCAAAAAAACCCACAACAACAAACAAGGTTACACCGTAAATAAAGTTTTTCCAGCATCCGATCCGGACATTGGGGATTGCCTTGTTAGTGAGACAACTTCCTGGGCCTCGGGCATATTGTGGTAGGGTG